AGCTCAGAAAAATAAAACTCCTATATTTTTTAATACATGTACAACTCATTGATTTCCAAGAATCCAGGGGCACAGATTAAAAAATATGTCTAAACCAACCAGACCGTGTGATTTACAGTCGCACAAAATTGTCAACTCAATGCATGTTCATGTGGGCGCCACCTTAGATGTTTGAGCGGAAGAGAGGCAAAAGAACCCAGCTTTTTCTCTTCACCCTTACGGCCGCTGCAGCAGAATAATCTGGATCGACCTCCATCCCATTCCCACACAAAACCAGCCAAGTAAGTTAAGGCCCCTGTTTTACTTGTTTACTCCTTTTCACATTTCTTCCTCTTCTCTCCTGCTTGTTCTTGTACTGTTGTGGAATTCCATTTCCATGACATTTTGGAAAACTCCTCTCTGTTTTTGTCACCAGTCTCAGACAAGGGAAGAGAAAGAAGAAAAAGTTGCCGGCTTTTCGTTCCTCTGTGTTTTATAAGCACCCTTGAAGGAGGTATGTTTATGTTTTCTTCAGCTGTTTGGAAGATGTAGATATTTATATATATATTTTTTAATTTTGAAAAGGGACTTTTGTTTTCCTACTGGGTTTGATATTGCTGTTGATTTGGAAAAATTGGAATGGAAATTTCCAATTTGTTTTTTCTTTTCACTTTTATGAATTGATTTGGGATTTTGGAGTAGACTTCTGTTTATGACTCTTTCCTTTTTACTATTAAAGTTGTTGAATTTCATGTTTCTAGTTGAATTGCAACGTGTTGGACTGTAAAATCAGAGATTTTTCTAATTTCTGGTGGACTTGGAAGATCCTTGTGTATAAATTGGGCTTGCTTTATTTCCTGTCACTTGTTATTTCATGTTTAGATGCATCATCTGTGCTCATTGTATTTTGGAATGAATGATTTAAACTGTTCTTCTGCATTGTTCAATGTTTATGTAGGTTGCACTTAGTTGCCAGATTCTAGAAATTATTATTCACTATGTTTCGTTGGAGGAGAAATTCTCATCATGACCAAGAGAATGACTTACTACATTCTGAGTCCAAGGTAATAAGTTTGGAGTTGCATTAGCTTTCATTTATTGGATTTATACATTGGCATGGTTTTCCCTCGTGGTTAATACTTATTTGGTAATCAAAGCTTTTCCTTGGTGACACAAGAAGGTCAAGGAGCTTAGGGCTGAGCTTGGATCGCTATCTGGACGCAGTTCACTGTATTGTACTGATGCATGCTTGAGGAGATACTTGGAAGCTCGAAACTGGAATATAGAGAAATCGAAGAAAATGCTTGAAGAGAGTCTCAAATGGAGATCAACATATAAGCCTGAGGATATACGTTGGGTAATCAAGTTTGTTTTAAGTCTTTTCCTTGTTTTGATTTTAGGAAACGAAGGGCTTGAAGTTTAAATGGTTTTGATGTCAGCATCAAGTTGCAGTTGAAAGTGAGACTGGGAAACTGTACAGGGCAGGTTTTCATGATCGTCATGGTAGCACTGTTCTCATATTGAGACCGGGAAAGCAGGTGCTATGTGCAATTAATTCAATACTGAAATGAGGTAGTTTTATTATTTCTTCTTGAAATTGACATGGTTGGAATTGTTGCAGAACACAACATCTCTGGACGATCAGATGCGGCAATTGGTGTATATGATAGAGAATGCCATTCTTAATCTTCCAGAGGGTCAAGAACAGATGTCATGGCTAATAGACTTCACTGGATGGACATTGAGCACATCTGTTCCAATCAAATCAGCACGAGAGACTGTCAACATTTTACAAAATCACTACCCTGAGAGGCTGGCTGTAGCATTTCTCTACAATCCCCCCAGGATTTTTGAAGCATTCTGGAAGGTTTAAATTCCACCCTCTTTAGCTGCAGCATCAATTGCTCATATTAACAAAGGATTAACCTGCTTTACTCCATTGCTGCAGATTGTTAAATATTTCTTGGATGCTAAAACCTTTCAAAAAGTGAAGTTTGTGTATCCAAAGAACAATGACAGTGTGGAGCTGATGAAATCATACTTTGATGAGGAAAATCTCCCAATAGAGTTCGGAGGAAAAGCCGAATTGGAGTACAACCATGAAGAATTCTCCAAGCTGATGGTACAGGATGATGTGAAATCTGCCAACTTGTGGGGATCTGATGACAAACTCCAATCTATTGTTAATGGGAATTCTGGGGCTGAGGTGGTCTCGGAACCAGTCTGCCATGCCTCTCCGGCCAGCTGAGGGACTTCCCCATCCGGTCGTGAGTTACTAATCTTACTGATATGAGATGATGCTTTAAAAAATGACCATTGCCTTGTACCAGAAGCTGTAATAATTGATGCATTAGGGTTGGATACACATTCGACTTGGTTATTCCTGGAAGGGAAGTATTTTTATCCTTCCCTAATAATGTACTTTACTAGTTTCCCTGCTTCTCATTATGCAGGTATCTCAAATGAATAGAAAATAAGCTCACGGTGCCTTCTTATTGAATCCTATCTACCTTTGAACACTTTCTCTGTTTCTTTCAATCCTCTGTTATACTTCTTTGAATGAAATTTGAACGTTTTGAGGGGAAAATTCCTTAGTTACATTAAGAATTCTCTCTTTCTCTGATACAAAACAGATTTTTTTACAATGAAAAACAAGGCAAACAAACACCTCCGTAAACAAACACATCATATTGAAGTTCTAAAGAAGGGAAAGCACAAAAAAAAAAAAAAAGAATGTTAGCTACACAGGATATTACATAGTCAAATCTGCTGTCAAAGCTGCATCTTATCTTTGTTAACGAGATGAAGTTAGGATGCCTCTGGATTTTACGGAAGGTATCACAGAAACCGCCTTTTGAAGTACCGAGTGGTAACCTGGTAAGAACGAGCCAGCAATCCAACTCCTACACCCATTCCCAGACAAATGCCAAGGCCAATCCCTACACCAACCCTAACCCCTGCATTGAACCATGAGAGTTCACTGTCCTCAACATCCATGCATTCTGTCCTTCTCCAGTACATGCTATAGTCTTCATTATATTCTCGTTTCAAGTTGCTGTATTCTGCGACCTGCAAATGGAAATTAGAAATTTTAACAAGTCGGATAGAAGGAAAATCACACTAAAGCAGCAGGAGACCAAATCTACACAACTCATAGTTTGACCAAAAAATATCTCCCTCTGCTTAAGTTATCAATGAATAAACCAACGCAGGTAGATTGCTAATAAGAATACTCCTTTCTTCTGCAACCAATCTATTGGAGGATGACCAAGAAAAACACGCAGATGATGAAGGTAGTGTCAAAATACGCATTTGGGTTAAAAATGGTGTCCAACATATATGTGTTAAGCTTTGTGAGCATGTTCTCAAATATCAACAGGTAGCAGCATTAAGATGACCAGAAAGAGCCAAGGAAATGGGCCTCTCATGTGGACGTACCAGACTGAAGCCCCAGTATGGCTGTTCTTGGCCTATAGACATTGGGTTCTGGCAGAAAGAAATAATAAACCATGCAACAGAAAAGGAAGGAGCAATTGACTACTATGTGTTTATCTCATCACTGGAGAACTGTGCACAACCCATATCCCCATGACACTTCAAGATAATGCTTCCTCATCCATGCATCAGATCTCACAAGTATGAGGGCTGATTGTGCAACTAAACATGTTTGAGGACAGGAAGCAAATTTGCAGCCACTATAGGAATTAAAATGAACATAGAATTTATTAATGCTAGTGAATCCATAGGAAACTAAAAAAGAATGCAGCATAAAAGATTGTTCAACTTGGTGTGTCCCATCAAGACCAGTCAATTAAAGGGAAGCTGAAAGTAATGAAATTTCAGTATTGGATTTGTCCAGTATGTTACCTGCAGACCAAGTTCAGATGAGGCATCTTTCTGGAATTCAGTTGTGTTATACTCAGGTATTGAGTCTAACATGCCCTTCCTATTATGCTTCTTCCTCGAGTTAAGCTGCAGTGTTTTGGTCAAGATGATCGGTGTTCCTAAGAAGCAACCTGTGACATAAACCTCAATGGTTGGTAATGGTAACCCTGGTCCCGTGAAGTTTTTTCCCTTCAAGAAGCCAGTGCCAGCAGTGATCTCTGACTCACAGTTCATGCTCCATTTCTTCTTGTTGTTTTTTGATTCCCCAGTGAAGCCATTACTACCAGACATATCCAGAACCCCAGAAAGAAAGAGATCATCCTTATCAAACACTTCAAATTTCACACTTCCTGTGAACCTAATACTATCCGTACTCACAAATGTGGCTTCTTCTGATTTCTTATCTACCCTATCCCTTCTAAGGAGGGAAGAGACTCCACCAGAATACATACCAATTCTCGCCCCATTAACTTCCAGAAGGGTGTCGGGGCTTAGAGGAATATGGTTAAGAGTAAGACATCCCGGGGTTGAATCATCAACTAGAACATTGCTGATCCTCACATAGAAGACTCTCAAATCAAACCAGGGGAAGGAAAATTTGGTGTTGGGTTGGAAAGGAGAGTATCCTATAATCTGAAGCCCATGGTCAACTCCACCACCATTGTTGGCTGTTTCACAAGGACCCTCCATGATTCAGGAACTTGATCCTAGAAACTCTCCAAAATGAATTTGAACCTTAACATTGGAAGAACCGAACAACCATACAATTTGGTATCAGATAGATAGGCAAGAGCTGTTTCAACATTAAAAGAATATATGCTATTAGATAATCATTATTGAAAAATCTTCTTCCATATTAGTAAATTAGTTCCCAATAGCCTGCCTCATCTCATAGAAATAACAAACCAGAGAACAGCTAGATAAAATGTCGCCAGGAAATAGCGTACACAAAAGGAAATTAACCAGACTTTTAGGAACAGAAACCCTTGGAATAAGGAAATGAAAAGAATTTTATTTTATTATTATTTTTTTAAAAAAAGGCAAGACAACTATACTATAAGACCGCACAAACATGCACGAAACATGCACAGTCTGCCCTAATCTGTCATTGAAATTACAGCAAAAAGTCCAAAGTTTATATGAAGAGCTAGTGCAAGGAAGAACATAAAGCGAAAGAAAGCGTGGAGAGAATTCTCAATTCACCTCTAGAAAGAAAGCCCGGAGAGAATTCTTGATTACACCTCCAGATTTCAGTCCAACCACAAAATCAGTGCAAATTAAAGTGATCAAAACCCATGTCTAATTTGAAAGAAGAATTGATATTTCAAATAAAACTAAACCCAACAACCACCAAGATCAGGCAGAAAACATTCATGGAATTGAAAAAGTAGAAAGTACCCACCACACCAGAACCAGCACCAGCAGCTGATCCTATAACTAAGCCAACCTGAATTCTCAGGCTATTAAATTCAAAGCAAGAAACAAGGTCAAACTCACACTTAGCTCTCTTCTTTCCCTTAATCCAAAAGGCGAGAAAAATCAGGATAAAGAATGAAAAAGGAGAAAGTTACCAAAAAAACACCCGAGTTACCAACACAACAACAGCAATTCCCTAAAAACGCATATCACAAAACAACAAAATAGCTATCACCATCTAGTAACAGCACCACAAAACTCAAAAAAAGGAAAAAAAGGAAAAAAAGAAAAAAAAAAAGCTTACCAGGGAAATCTTCCATCCACAAATGTCAATATCTACAGATAATCAAACTCTCATAGCCAGGGATTCCCCAACTCGCTTTCGCTCTCTAAGATCAAAGCTTTTGATCTTCTGTGCAAAAATTCGTGGCTAATCATGTAAAGACCGAGTCTTCAAAAACCCAGAAAGCCACCTCCTCCTCAACTTTATTTAGTGTAAAGGTCTCATCTTTCCATCTTTTCACGTTTAAATTATTGCAGGGGTTACGGGGCCCGGGTGGGAGTATTTTTGACCTCTCCGAAATAGGTGTCCCATAAATCTGAGATTGAGGATAATGAGACCCTTCTGGTGGATGATTGTATTTTCTTCAATCCGTGTTTTTGCTTTCTTCTTCAAGTTAGTATGAGTAGTTGATGAGTAATAGACGGAAGTGGGCATATGATCTTATCCGATTAGGCTTAGGGAAGGACATCATAACCTGCGCTTTTCACAATTAAGAAGTCTTGGTTGTGTCTTACGAAAGGGTTGTTGGGAGTAGGTCAGGAGTCAACGGTTCTTTCGCGGTTTTATTTAATTTATTGAATAAAAATACGTTAATTATACTTGATACTAATTCCTCAAGCTTCAAAAATCTTCAAAAATTCGTTACACTATGAATAATTTAGAATTGAATTTTGTTAAATCCTATAAGAATTTTTCTAAATGTATTTTTTTATTTATACAATTTGAATTTAAAATTTTATTTAAAGAAAACTAAACTCTTTTTACTTCAATAAATATGTAGTTGGTAAATTATATTAATTAAAAATATATATTTTAATACTGACTCTTAAAATTAATAAGAGTTTTATTGTTAAATTATATTGTTTTATTTAATTCAAAATTTAAAAATTCATTATATTAGATGTTGATATTTAAATTTAGAAATTGATTTTATTAGAAAATATAATTAGTTTTAAAATTTATGTACCAACATTAATAAGATAAATTTTTGAATTTTAAATTGAGATTTTGATTTTTAAATGTAAATTGAGATTCTTTTTTTTTTTAAAAAAATTAGAATTGATATACATTAATCTCTATTAATTATTAATAATAACAACTATTAACAATTAAATTAATAGACAAGTGTATATCAATCCCGAATTCTAAAAAAAATTGAAATCCTAACTTTAAATTATATTATTTTATTTAATTAAAATTTAATTCAAAATTAAATATCCATCATATTAAATATTTATATCTAAATTGAAAAACTGATTATTTTAAAATATATAATCGGTTTTAAAATTTAAATATCAACATTTAAGGTAAATTTTTAATTTTTAAATTGAAAATTTAATTTTTAAATGTGGTTTTAGATTCTAATTTTTTTGAATCAAAACTAATACCCACTATTATCCCAAAAAAATCTCCTTGACATGTGACATATGAAATGACGTGCCACTTATTTTACTCAAAACAAAAAAAATTTCTCCAATGATCATCTTTTCTTTCCAAGCGTAGAACTTAGTTATAAGTTGATGGAAGAACGTTGTAGATTACGCTTTAATGATCAAATAATTGGCAGAAATGATGGATAAACTTTCTGTACTAAATGTGTTATAGGACAAAATGCCTTGAGTATAATTTTAAGGACTCCTCCAAACTAATGTAATCTAGAAAAGCTAAGACTGCAAAAAAAGTAAATGATTGTTAAACTACTAAAAATTTAAATGAATTTTAAATATGCAAGTGGAGTTGAAATAGAGTTTTAAATAGGAAATCTAAATGTAGAAAAATAAATTAAATTAAAGTAAATAAAACTGGAAGCATAAAAAATTTATTAGCAGTATGAAATATAAATTAATAGAAATGGAACAGAACATGAAATTAAATATCATATCACTTGATTAAATTAAAAGAAACTAGGAAAACAATAAAGGAAAGGAAGTAATCCGATTACAAAGAAATATCACCAAAGGCAACGAATCTACCATTACAAAACCGACAAAAGGGGAATTGAATTTCCTCCTCAGAGAACTAAAACTAATTTCTGGAATTTCTAAAGGAAAGGACATTAAACTAAAATTGAAGACTAATTTAGGTTAAAACATAGAGTTAAAACTAAACTAAAAGGTTTGAAATTGAGATGAATCTGAGCATAAAAAGAAATTATGTTGAACTTGTTGTATGAAAGGTGAGTGTGTCTTGCTTCATTTCTTCTCTACGTATTTATAGCAATAAACACTTCTTGGCAACATGCTTGGAGATTATGCTTCTGGAAGTTCGCAACAAGCTAATGGTTTTACGAATGTTGTAGAAATAACCACTGAACCTTATTTGGAAATATTTACATCAACAACTTTCAACCAGTGAAATACCTACCAACATCAATGACACGTGGCACCATTCTATTTGTTACAAAATTATGTGAAAACACCCACTAACCTCTTAAATTAATTAAACAAAACTGTTAACAACAAGTTTTAAACCATTATTCAAGACATGCTTTAAATGGGATTAAAGATAAAGTTGTGGTCTCAAATGAAACGAAAAAGAAAACATTTTATATCCTAAATTACAAAATATGGATAAGTTAGAGACCTTATTTTCCTGTTTTTACCTGCCACGATGGAGCGGGAAGCCTGCCCCATTCTTCTAACACAGGTTGGTTAAATGAAAGAAAATAATTTTACTTAGATTCGCAGATCGCTGTTGTTTCTATACTCCGGCTGCGTTGTTCTCTCTGGATAGCTTTGCAAGGATCTAAACAATGGTAGGGAGCCCTGATCCTGTATCCTTCGTTGGTCTTCGTTTTCTGGTAAGCATCTCTTTTCAGGACTGGACAGCTCTTGCTAACTTTTGATTTGATCTTCAAATTACCGAATAAATGTTGTTCTATATGATAAGTTCGAAGTGGGTTTCACGTTCAAAGCAAAGAAACGAACTTTCTTTTGTTGTACTTGTGAGAAGCTTCTTTGTTGGTGTTTTTTTTTTTTAGGGTTTTATGCAATTTCGGGCATGTATGCATGCCTTTTTTTGGTTGGATTGTAGTTATGGTGTGGATGAATTAAGCATCAAAGTCATGGTTGATTTGGGTTGGCTAGTGAAACGATTTTGGTGTTTGAGATTAGATTATCCATTTCCCTTGCCGTTCCAAGCTTTCTTTATAACCAAATTTTTTTCTTACAAGGTAACTTGAAAGATTTTATCTTTTGAGAAAGTTTCTGAAAATTTCAAATTTCAAGCTACTTGGTAAGAACCCATCTGGATTTGAATATTCTCGTAGCATTAAAATTTAGAATTAACCTGCAAAGGTTAATTTCCATGACAAGGCTTTGAGTTTGCAAGAACTTCATCTTTTGATTGTTAGCAATGACCATGCTCAGGGGATGTGAATGCTAGAAGCATATTTGGTAAGGAAACTGAACCTTCTTTATAAAGATTAAATTAAAGGCACCTCCATAATAGCACAATCCAGATTCCAGAAAGAATTCAAAGAAATCTCAACAAGAACTTCAAGAAACAGTTTTATGGTTAGAGAAGTCGTGATATTCAAGCTTACTTTAGACAGGTGCTGAATTGACGTTTTCTTTGGGGCATTGTGCTAGTTGGTAATTGAAGTTGGTTAAAAGAGTGAACATTAGGTTAGCCTGTGAACTTAGGGTCTTTTATTTAGAGCTTAACTTTGATTAGTAGTTCAAATACTTTATAGGTTGGGACCTTAAGCTTTAGCTTGTTAACTTAGAGTGCTTTCAATAGTCTTACTGTGGTGGCTATTGGGTATGACTCTGCTGTTTTTGTTTCCTTTCTGTCTTCCTTTTTTCCTTTTTATTTTTTTTTTCTTGGTGTTTTTTGGATTTCTTTTTGGTATTTTAAATAAACAGGAATGGTGAGAAAGCATCTAGCCATGTACTTGTAACACAGAGGTCAGTCCTGGTCTTGGCATCATATTGCATTTTGTTTTAATGTCTTCTCTCAGGTATTTTTTTGACTGAAATGGTATGACTTGTATAAAGCTATGCATAGGGATTTGATTTGTGGCAATCCTTCTTTTTATGTTTAGATTACTGGTTATTGTCAAATACTCACATTTTCTAGGTTGGATGTTAGTTAATATCCATAGGAAGATTAGTTTCTGGATATCAGAATGACTGCATTAGTTTAGGACATATATTTTAAGAATATTCATGGTATTCTTTTGACAGGTTATGGCATCCCCAGAACCCATGAGCACTGAGACAGAGCTGCCAGTAGGACAAGTGAACCCCCCTTCTCCTAGGAAGCAGCGGATTTTGCTTGCTGCAACTGGAAGTGTAGCTGCCATAAAGTTTGCAAATCTCTGCCATTGTTTTTCTGACTGGGGAGAAGTAAGGGCTGTTGCCACAAAAGCATCTTTGCATTTCATTGATAGAGCGGCACTCCCTAAAGATGTAATTCTTTATACTGATGAGGATGAATGGTCTAGTTGGAGTAAAATAGGTGACAAAGTGCTTCACATTGAACTTCGCCGATGGGCTGATGTTATGGTCATCGCCCCATTGTCAGCTAACACTCTTGGCAAGGTATTATGGTTAGCTATCTTGTATTACTTCAGATAGAAGTGAATGTCAATCAACTATTACGTTATTAGGACATTTTATTTGGAAATTTGATCTTTAAGCTGTATTTTACCTTTCAATACCTCTCTTCTGCAGATTGCTGGGGGATTGTGTGACAATCTACTAACATGCATTGTCCGAGCATGGGACTACAGCAAGCCACTTTTCGTTGCACCAGCAATGAACACTTTTATGTGGAATAATCCTTTCACTGAACGACATATCATGACCATCGATGAACTTGGAGTTTCTCTCATCCCACCTGTCACCAAGAGGCTAGCTTGTGGGGACTACGGCAATGGAGCAATGGCAGAACCTTCTCTAATCTACTCAACTGTGAGACTCTTCTTCGAATCCCGTCCTCCACCCACTGAAGTCATGAATTAGGCTAATTTGATATGCACAGAATGATGCGGGACAGGTTAGGGGGTATGGTTGACTTGGGATTTAGAGTCTGTTTGGGCAAATATATACCGTGAATAGTATGTGTGAACAGTAAAATAGGGTCCGTTTAGGGTAGAAAAGAGGAGAAATAGAAAATAAACAAGGAGGATGATAGAAAAGACTAGGAGTCACACCTAGTTTTTTTTTTTTTGGGGCATCACAACCAAGATTGTGTCACACAATCAAGAGCAAAACTTGCTGGAAAATTTTGAATATTATCAACTGTATAATGAAAGAAACTACATACATATTTATATAGAAACTACATACATATTTATATAGAAACTACTAAGACTTTTACTAGAACTCCTATTCTAATTAATCTATAACTTGAAATTTAAAATTTTTAATTTAACTAGGGCTTAAGACTCTTGATCAAAGACCTAATCCTAATAAAAGTGGGAAAACTGATGATAATTACACTTGAATAAAAATAATTAGTTAAGAATTCTAAATAATCTAAATAACTATTGAATAGTTTCTTCTTGTTCCTCATCATTCTCCCCTTGTTGGAGAAAACTCGACCTTGAGTTTTGAAAGGTTGAAGTAGCAAAAATCTCAAGATCACAAGATGCATTGGTGATGGCAGAACTTCACTTGGTTTTAAGAATTGTTTTAATCCTAACAAACTTGATAATGCAAAGATTTGTTTTGTGTCAAATATGGTTGAAAAGACAAAATCAACACCTTGAAGTCCATGAAAAGTAGAAGAAACTTTAGCCTCATTAAAGCTCTTTTCAAGACATGCTTGGGTTTCCGCTTGGGTTTCCACTTTTGTTTCTATCGTATCTTGAATTTCTACTTAATCATCCAACTTCCTTTCAACTTCTTTGCTGTTCTCTATCGATAATAAGAACAAGTTTGGTAAAACTTGTAAGTACTTCAACTTTTTTGACATTATTTATATTTTATAAGTTTAATTTTTTTAAAAAAAACTTATATTTTTTAATTTTTTTTAATCTTAAAAAATACGTTAAATAAAAAATTTTGAAAAATTTCAAAATTTTATTTTTTATAAATTTTCTTTTTATTCACTTTATTATTTTTAAAAACAACTTTTAAATTTTTTGTTTAATAAAAATTTAAACTTATAACTCATAAACAATACTAAAAAAAAAAAAAGTTCTAAGAAGTTTCACCAAACAGAGCATAAATCTTCTTTTATGTTGCCATCCACTTCTTCTAGCAAGATGTTATCATTAATCTCCCTGCCAATCAATTTTTCAACCTATTGCTTAAAGGCAGATTTAATTTCTTTCCATTCTCTTTATGTAACTCTAGATTCCAAATCACTGTTTGTCACCATAATGCAAGAAAAATTCAACAAGAAACTTAAGGAATTTTTTTTTTTTTAGGATCTTTTGCTCTGAGACCAACTAAGGCTAGTTGCATCATATAACTAAAATTGCATTACACAATCAAAAGCAAAACTTGCTGAAAAATTTTGAATATTATTAATTGTATAATGAAAGAAACTACATGCATATTTATATAGAAGCTACTAAGGCTCTTATTAAAACTTTTATTCTAATTAGTTTATAACTTGAAATTTAAAATTTTTTATTTAACTAGTATTTAAGACTATTGATAAAAGACATAATCATAATAAAAACAAAAAAATTGATGATAACTACACTTAAATAAAAATAATTAGTTAAAAATTCTAAATAATTTAAATAACTATTGAATATCTTTTTCTTGTTCCTCATCGCATAACATCCTCCTAAACTGGTTCTTAATGCCGTCGAGCTTTACTTGTGTATTATATGTACCGTTTCTAGCTATCCATCGATCTTACGTTAACCTTACTGTACATTGATACATACTCATCTATAGTTTTCTTTGAACTTAATACCACAAGAAAAAGTGTTGAAAAATCTGGTACATACCAGAATTCAATCTTGTAGGTTGTTGATATTATTTCTGAACTCCATAACCTGATATTCTTCCATTCTCAGCCTCAAAATTTCAATCCTAGAGTAAAATTCAAAGGAAAAAACAGTACTGCTAGTGTCATTTAGACGGACCCGACCGTTAAGTCAACCTCTTTTGCCAACCTCCATGCACCTCAGTAGTACCTGAACAAACCTCCGAGAGGCAAAGCGACAGGTGGTCAGACTGAGACACTGAGTCTGGGTCATATGGTACACCAAAAGTTGCAAACAAAATCAAACCCAACGCCTCTAACCATGGTTAGTTATCGGTACCCATTTTCTTTTCTTTCTTTTTTTTTTTTTGAAAAAAAAAATCTTATTATTATACTAATGTACTAAAGAAGGCTCCTTTCTTCATTTCGACCCGCTTTCCTCCTACCTGTCAAATTTGCCTTTTGCTTCGGCTGCTTCGAAACAAAAGGATATATAGGGATAGTTTGGATAATTGATAAGAAGAAGAAATAATGGCTTTTTGAGATTTTCCCCTTTCTTAATTCTCCTATTCAATACAACCCTTACAACTAATATTTCTATATAGATAGAGGAAGTGAGAGATTTAATGGGTTTTCCAGGATCTTGATGAGGTCAAAGATATTGGTCCAGTTGGTTTAGGATCTTGAGAAAGATTGAGTCTTTGTGAGAAATAAGGTAGTGTGGATTTTGGGGTTCGATAGATAGGTAAAAGGGTGTCTGAAAAGAATACCAAAAAAAAAAAAAAAAGGGAAAATTGATTGAAGATTTGGTTTTGATGGTTTTGTTTGGGTTTTTAGGTTAGTTGATAGGGAGAGATTGATGGGTAAGAAGAAGCCTCAGAAAACTAAGGAACTTTCTGTAGCAATGGCAGAAGCTTCATCAACAGGGGATGGAACAGAGCAACAGCAACCACAGCCTGAGCTAGGTCCACTGCAAGCTCCTCGGAAGAGAGGTAGGCCTCGAAAGATCGTTAAAATGATTGAAAGTGAAGAGAAAAAAGAAGAGCAAACAGAGGAAGATGAAGGGAGTGAAGCAAAGAAAGTAGAGACTACAGAGGAAGAAGAAGAAGAAGAAGAAGAAGGGAAGAAGCTAAAGGAAAAAGCAGAGTCTTCCAAAGGAGATGAGAAGAAAACAGAACCTTCAAGAAGCAGAGCTAGAAGAAAAAGCAAACCCAGAAAAAGCAGCTGAAACTTCCATAACAATCAGGTAGGTGGTTCTAGAAAAAAAATATATTAAATGATTTTTGCTTTTGACGTTTATGAAGCTTCTAGGGTTTGATTCTTTTTTGCTTAATCTCTTCCAAATGAAAGTTGAAACATAGAAAACAGCTTTGCTTTGTCCTTTTGATTGCAGTAATTGTGCTTAATCATATTGTTCATGTTGAAGCTTGAAGATTGATTATTAATACACAAATCAAAGATCCTTGCTTTTGTGATTAATTTCTTACTTTCTAAGTTCTTATGATATGTCTATATAGTGATTATGAGTAAGAAAACAGAAAGTAGGAAAGAAAGAGAAAAATTTTGCTATTAACAAAGATAGAAGAGATGGGGAAGATGTTAGGAAAAATGAGTGAAGGTACTTTGCTGCTTCCAGCGTTGAGCAGTGAGGACTGTGCTATTAGTCTATTTTGGGGAGACGCCGAATCTATCAAAAAGCAAAATCGACTCCAACTCATTGCCACTGGCACGTTGCTTTCAAGCTCGTCGGCGAATAGCCTGTGTGGGGGCTGTAGGGTGGGACAAATGCGCTCTTATGGCGCGTGGAGGGGAGGCGGCTTCGTCGGTCGTTGCACTCGCAGGAGAACAGCGGTGGAGACGTCTTTTTATAGGAAGACGTGGACGTTGCAAAGACGCGCTCTTAAATGGGTCCCCTCAGCGCTCAGCCCCTCTCTTTCACTTTCAGTACAAGTAAACACAGGTTGCTCATACATTTGCAGCTTCAAAAGATTATGAGAATTGCGATCGAAACAATCTCATGATAATACGGTTCTTAGAGTGTGTGGATATGGCCGTGCAAATTATAGTGGTTGTGTTTTGGTTTGATTA